TTAAAACAGTACACATGTTACCCAAATTCTGATCGGTATGTGACGCACAAGCGGAGTGGTCTTTCTTCACCGTCCGTGTAGTTCACTAAGTCATCGATCGCCTGTGGAAATTTTCATTTCTCTGTTGCCAGTTGAGCTGAGAGGATTGGAATAGTTATTCAACTTTTCTTGAAATTTTTAACAAATATATTTTGTTTATTCGAAATGGCAGATAAAGTAGAATCTCCAGCTGCACCCGCAGTTACAACTCCTAAGAAGGCGGCAACTCCTAAAGCGAAGCAACCTCGCACAAAAGCCGCTCACCCACCAGCATCTGAAATGGTAGTTGCAGCTATCACAGCTTTGAAGGAAAAAGGCGGTTCTTCTCTCCAAGCCATCAAGAAATATATTGCTGGTACTTATGCAGTTGATGTAGAAAAGCAAGCGACTTTCATCAGAAAGTATCTTAAAGCTGCTGTTGCCAACAAAACGCTGATTCAAACCAAGGGAAAAGGTGCTGCAGGATCCTTCAAATTGAATGTCGCCAAAGCTGAGGCCAAGGCAAAAACCAAGACTGCTACAGCTAAACCCAAAGCTGCTGCATCCAAGGCTAAAAAAGTTGCATCTCCGAAAAAGGCTGTAGCTGCCAAGGCCAAGAAAGCTATTGCCGAGAAGAAAAAGACTCCTAAGGTTGCAGCTAAACCACCAAAGGCCAAGTCTACCACTGCCAAGCCTAAGGTGACCAAGGCTTCTCCCAAGAAAGCAAAGGCACCTGTTGCCGCCAAGAAAGCTGCACCAAAACCCAAAAAGACAGTGGCAAAGAAGGTTGCAAAAAAATAAGGAGGGAATGTTATATAACAGTAACATTTTCAGAACTCATCGATAACAAACGGCCCTTTTCAGGGCCACAAATTGTTTTTTACGTAATGGTTTGTTTTGTTCTTTAAACAAATAACTTATTAAAATACAAAAAAATTGCTAAATTACACATGTCTGTAGATTGATTACGAATAGCGCTAGTCTCTATATAACGCTCTTTGCTGTTTATTTTATCATACAATTAAATCAAAATAAGAATTCATTCAGAATTTTAGGAAATTAATTTTTCTCCTATTATCTTCGATGAAACATTTTTTTGTTAATATTTTTTGTAGTAAATTTATTTATTCTTTCGAGGCAATATGTCAGATAAATTCTGTAATTTACAAGTACATATTAAATTATTTAATGTAACTGCACTCAAAAAAATATAATCGATTTGACAACATTTAACTACTTTGCCTAGTACAATAGTTCCTCAACTCAATTTAAAAAGTAAAATTTACTATCAGAAAGTAGTTACAATAACTAAGAATATAGTTGATAGAATGATGTTTTGCAGTTGTTTCAGTATTTTTGTAGTTGATCCAACTACAATTTCTAGTAAATTGAAAAGCTAATCATTAACTCCATAAAATATATTTAGACATCAAATATCCAATTAGAACATATTAAAAAAGGTTACGCCTCCATATTTTATATTTTCATAAAACGTCCATTAATTTAAAGAAATTTTAATAAACTTTATTTACCAGTGAACGACTTCTACAAAATACAAATGATAATTTAGTTATAATTTATCTAATAGATCATAAACATATCAAAATATTTGTAAACTAGAAGAAAAATGCTTCAAATTTATCTTAATAAATTATTTTTTATAATGTTAAACCAAAATAATTTCAACGTAAAAAAATGTGTTGGCCCTGAAAAGGGCCGATTGCATTTTTGAAGGTTGTTGTAAAAAACTTAAGCACGTTCTCCTCGGATACGACGAGCCAATTGGATGTCTTTTGGCATGATGGTGACTCTCTTGGCGTGGATGGCGCACAAGTTGGTATCTTCGAAGAGACCGACGAGGTAAGCCTCGCTAGCCTCCTGGAGAGCCATCACAGCAGAGCTCTGGAAACGCAAGTCGGTCTTGAAATCTTGAGCGATCTCACGAACCAAACGTTGGAAAGGAAGCTTGCGGATGAGGAGCTCAGTGCTCTTCTGGTAACGACGGATCTCACGGAGAGCGACGGTTCCTGGCCTGTAACGATGGGGTTTTTTCACTCCACCAGTTGCAGGCGCGCTCTTTCTGGCGGCCTTGGTGGCGAGTTGTTTCCTTGGTGCCTTACCACCGGTGGATTTACGAGCGGTTTGCTTGGTACGTGCCATGACGATGCTGTAAGTTCGGAGACTAACAAAACAATGATGTACGGCGGGGAAAATGCTGTATTTATGGACTTTCGACCCTTCTGTTCAATAAGCAATTATAAGCTTATATGTTCCTAAGAAACTTATAAAAAGTGATCTTGACATTATCTTTAATTTAAATAGCAAAATTATCGCGGCGGGTGATTTCAATGCAAAGCACAAAAGTTGGAATTGTTTTAGAAATAACGCAAATGGAACTACACTATTCAACTATGTTGAAAGAAAAACCTTAACTATTGAAGCCCCTAATGACTTTACACTTTTTCCTTTTAACTCTAAAGCTAAACCTAGTATTGTTGATCTCACACTTCTAAAAAATATCACAAACCACAACACAACACAAGTACTCAATGAATTAGACTCTGACCATAAACCTGTACTATTCTCTTTAAAAAATGAACGTTCACCCAGAAATGAAAATAAAAGATCATTGTTAAATTATAAACTTGCAAACTGGAAAATATTCAAGTCTGAAATTAATGACACCCTGAATATCAACAGTAAAATTGACTCTATCACTGACATTGATGATAGTGTTGAACAGTTAACCAATATCTTAAATAATTCAATAATTAAAGCAATCCCAAAAGCAAAACCCTTCCGTATAAAAATTAATCTGCCACAACAAATAATAAATCAAATAAAAGAAAGAAATAAACTTAGACTCATTTATCAAAAAACAAGAAATAAATATCTCAAACCCTTACTAAACGAAAGCAGTGCAAAAATAAAAATGTCCATAAAGAATCATAAAAATTTGATGTGGGAAGATAAACTCCACAACTTAAACATAAAAGATTGCTCCCTTTGGAAAATGACAAAAGCTCTAAAAGGCAAAAATAATTCTCACATCCCTCCTTTGCAAGATAATGACAAGATCATCTTTAAAGATGAAGAAAAGGCTGAATTAATCGCGAACAATTTCGAAAAAGTGCATACATTAACATCAGATTTCGGTGATAGCAAATTTGATGAAGAAATTAACTTAAAGTACTTAAACATTATACAATCTGAAACTAAACTTGAAAACATCAAACTTGCTTCACCTAAAGAAATCATGACAATAATACGTAAAACTAAAGGTAAAAAAGCCCCCGGCCTTGATGGTATACAAAATATTGTACTTAAACATCTCCCTAAGAAAGCGCTAGTGCAATTAAATTATATTATAAATGCGTGCTTACGACAAAGCTACTTTCCTAAAGCATGGAAAACCGCAAAAATACTCCCTATTCCAAAACCAGGAAAAGATCACAAAAGATATGAAAATTATAGACCAATAAGCCTACTCCCCACACTAAGTAAAGTTCTTGAAAGTATCATACTAAATAGACTTAAAGAACATGAAACTATATATAAACAGATAATTCCTGAGCAATTTGGCTTTAGGGCAAAACATAATACTGTACAACAACTAGCACGACTGACAGACTTTATAACCACAAACTTTAATTTAAACAAAAGCGTTGGAGCCTTGTTCCTAGACATGGAAAAGGCATTCGATACTGTGTGGCACAAAGGCCTTATTAGTAAATTAGAAGATTTAGATATAGATATATATTTGTTAAAAATTATAGCCAGTTATTTAGAAAATAGAAAATTTATTGTTGACATAAATGGGAAAACCTCTTGTGATAAAAATGCTGTGGCAGGGGTCCCACAAGGGTCAGTTCTAGGACCTATTTTATTTTTATATTTCATAAATGATTTACCTTTAAGTGATAAAGTAAAGAAAGCTATATTTGCTGACGATACAGCATTGTACACTTCGTCATGGCGTAAAAAACAAATTGCCAAAAACTTACAGCAATATATTCTAATTATAGAAAAGTACTACCTAAAATGGAAGCTGAAAATCAATGTTGATAAAACTGAATTTATAATTTTCTCTCACAAACTTAAAGATAAACATGTACCAAAACTCACTTTATACAATGAAAATGTTCCTTTAAAAGAAAAAGTAAAATATCTAGGTATGATTCTTGATAACAAACTCAAATTTAGAAATCATATTACAGAAGTAAGGCAAAAAACATTCCAAATAATAGGTCAATTGTATCCACTTCTATGTTGTAAAAGCAAAATGAATACAAAAAACAAGAAAACAATCTATAAAATGATAATAAGACCTACAATGTTATATGCAGCTCCCATTTGGGGTGGTACTTTTAAAACTTATATCCAAAGACTGCAAATATTGCAAAATAAATGTTTGCGTATGATACTCTGTGCCAAAAGAGGAACAAAAATATCTAGATTACATAAACAGTCTGAAATACTCAGTATTAAAAAATTTATATACAAAGCGACAAAAGACTTTTATGATAATTTTGATAAATTAGAAATACTTAAAGATATATGTAACATAAAATATAAGGAAGCTCCATTTAAAATAAAACATAGACTACCAAACCACCTACTGCAATTCCCTATTGCACCTTAGATTGTAAGATGTAAATATTGTACATAGTAGAATGTAACTGTTCATAATCCTTTATTATTGTTAATTCTTAGAAATTTATCAGACCAAGCAGGTTTTTTAAGAAAATTTTCCTGTATTACAAAACAATATTTTCATGACTAAACATACACTAAGTAAAATAAATAAAAATATATGTATATGTGGATAAATCGCATAGATAGGAACCACGACTAGAAAACATTAGTATAAGTACAAATGTGTAATACTTGCTGTACAAATTTTTGATCTCAATAAAAACTTGAAACTTGAAACTTGGAAAAGCATTCTCAGTTTGTTCTTCGTTCGAGTTTGACGTACGAACTTTATTATCTGCAAAAATGACTGGTCGCGGAAAGGGAGGTAAAGGTTTGGGAAAAGGAGGAGCAAAGCGGCATCGCAAAGTTTTGCGTGATAACATCCAAGGTATCACCAAGCCAGCCATCCGTCGTTTGGCTCGTCGTGGTGGAGTGAAACGTATCTCCGGATTGATCTACGAGGAAACTCGTGGTGTTCTCAAAGTGTTCCTTGAGAACGTGATCCGTGACGCCGTCACTTACACCGAGCACGCCAAGAGGAAGACCGTCACTGCCATGGACGTCGTCTATGCTTTGAAACGTCAAGGCCGCACCCTTTATGGTTTCGGCGGTTAAATTTTCCTGTCATCTTACAAAACAATCGGCCCTTTTCAGGGCCACCAAATTTTTTAACTTTGGAATTCTTTTGTTTAAAACATGTTTTTAAAGCAAAAAGATAGTCTTATGTTGATAATTGATTTTATTAGAAGAAAATCCCCAGGCGAGTTAAATTAAATTTGATCTGTGAAGGTAAAAAACTATTTGATAAAATTGAAAAGGTAAATGTAAAAAAGAAAGTTTTTTTTATTTTACATAAAGTATACTATTATTTCACATCCGTCAATTATAGTATTGCGGATTGTTTTCTAGGAGGCCTTAAAACAAAAAACGGGTGTTTAAAATTTTTTTTAAAGAAATGTATTATTCAAGATCATGTTTCGACAGTATATACTGTCGTATAGTATATTGTATCATATAGTATATCATACACAGTATATTCACTACCTCGCTCAATGAAAATATCCAGCTACTCGTAAAAAGGATGGTTAATATAACACAGAAAATTAAAAGGCATTAAAATAAGCTGCAACGCTTATTATTTTAATCCAATTTTGCTTATTTTAATCCATTTTGGTATTAAAATAAGCAAAATTGAATTAAAATAATAAGCGTTGCAGCTTATTTTAATGCCTTTTAATTTTCTGTGAAAATATTTCCTTCTTCGCAAATTCCTTTTCGAGTATCTCAATAACATAATCACTATACTCAGAATTATTATAAATGAAGTAAAATAGCAAAAAGAAAATACAATCCCAACCTTTTCTTCCCTCTGAAATATAAAGCTTTTAAAGAACATAAAAAATACCATTTGAAACGCTATAGAAACTTTTTCCATTGGACACTAAACACATGTTGACCAGATATAAAAAAGACTCACTAAATCAACGAAAGTCAAATACTAATAACACAAAACATCAAATATCGGATATGAAATACTTTTTTTTAATCCTTCTTTTGGGTTTTCCCAAAGCAGGCTACTCCAGAATAACACGTATATATGGTTGTTATAAAATACATGAGAATATTTTTGACCTGCAACATAAAAAAGGGTGTTGCTTTCTCGAAACCTATACACTTTATTTCCTTACAACAATAATAGCTTTTCATCGAGAGAAATTTAAAATATAATGGTGGTAAAAATAAACTAATATTGGCTTAAAAATGTTAAAGAAAAAATTAATTCCTTCGTAAAAAAATTTGTTGGCCCTGAAAAGGGCCGATTGTTTTCGGAGAGATCAAGATTTAGATTTACTTGGAGCTGGTGTACTTGGTGACAGCCTTGGTGCCTTCAGAGACGGCGTGCTTGGCGAGTTCACCAGGAAGGAGAAGCCTGACAGCGGTTTGAATTTCCCGGGAGGTGATGGTTGACCTCTTGTTGTAGTGGGCCAGGCGGGAAGATTCGGCAGCGATACGTTCAAAGATGTCGTTGACGAAGCTGTTCATGATGCTCATGGCCTTGCTGGAGACTCCAGTGTCGGGATGGACTTGTTTCAACACTTTGTAGATGTAGATGGCATAGCTTTCCTTCCTCTTGCGCTTCTTTTTCTTATCAGTCTTGGTGATATTTTTTTGAGCCTTGCCGGCTTTTTTCACAGCTTTTCCACTTGCTTTAGGAGGCATTTTGGATTTTCAGAGACAAACACGTGTAAACTCAATGAGAATACGGAGTGAATTGATGCTCGGCCCACAAACCGGGTTCCTTTTATGTTCTGTCGCAGTGGCTATGCTACATTGTGATTGGTTCGTGCACTCGCTGTAAACGTCTACCAGTCACAGTATTGAGGTAGGGGAATAGTGGTGGGGGACCCTAATGGAAGTGCATAAATAGTCGATTTTACTGAAATTTTTGTATTAGTCATCCAACCTTTGAGTTGTTCCTTACGTTGCTACTAAACTAAATCGAAAAAATGTCCGGACGTGGAAAAGGAGGCAAAGTCAAGGGAAAGTCAAAGACTCGTTCCAACAGAGCTGGACTTCAATTCCCAGTTGGTCGTATCCATCGTCTCTTGCGCAAGGGAAACTACGCTGAGCGAGTTGGTGCTGGAGCTCCAGTCTACCTCGCAGCAGTAATGGAATACTTGGCTGCCGAAGTTTTGGAATTGGCAGGAAATGCCGCTCGTGATAACAAGAAGACCAGAATCATCCCCCGTCATCTCCAACTTGCCATCAGGAATGACGAGGAATTGAACAAACTTCTTTCTGGAGTCACCATCGCTCAGGGTGGTGTTCTTCCCAACATCCAGGCTGTTCTTTTGCCCAAGAAGACCGAAAAGAAAGCTTAAATTTCTACCCACATCCTCTCTAAAACAATCGGCCCTTTTCAGGGCCATCAAATCTTTTTTACGTGTGAATCTTGAGTTCTTTGCATTATTTTTTTCATTATAATACATACGTATTAGACCTTCCCTTATGCTACTAAAATGTTGGAAGTAGCGATAGAAAAGTGGGAGTTTTTACTTGTGGCCTTCCTTACACCCAGAGAAAAAATTTATTAGTTTTGAATAAAAACGTATATTTAAATCATTTTTATTTATTTCAAATAAATATTTTATTTAAATTAAATAAATAAATGTTTGTTTGAAATTGTCGTATATGTTTCTTACAAATAAACAATTTTATTAGTACTTTTTAAAAAGGTACATTTGTGGCAAATAAATAATATATTTAACTCAAATAAAAGTTTATTCGAGTTGAACGCAAGCATGCGCAGAATACTGTATACGATATAACTTTAAAGATGTCGGACGTAGTGAAAACGAGGTGACAGATTAACGCGACCAAGCAGTTGTTTGTACAAGGATTGATTATTATTTGATTAAAACAAATACTAATTTCAGGATAATTAAAGAAATGTTTTTATTCGCGAGTGTTTATTAATTAAATCACACTTTCCTTTTATTTTGAGTGCCTTTCTCCCTGTTGTGTCTCAAATGTGAAGCAGAAATCAAATCAGCTTATCATTGACACAGAGATATGGAAATTGTTATGTTTTAACAATATCCACGGAAGATACAAAAAAATAACCACGAAATGTAAAAATTTAAGATTTTCAATTTGAATTAAAAATTTTAATTATATCAATTCCAGAATACTTTTCTGAATACCAGGCAATTTTGCAATTAAATATATTACATTCAAAACTTTTTATTTATTTGTGTATGACATCAACAAAGGTAAGTTAACAAAAGTTAGTATTAATTTATTTGGATCAAATAAAAAGTATTTGATCCAAATACATCATTTGATGATGATGAAGATAAATATAACGATGATCATAATTTTGATGATCATAATAATGATGATGATGATTATTATGATGATCATACTGATGATGGTCATACTAATGATGATCATGATGATGTTTATACTGATGATCATAATGAGGATATAGTTCCGAATAGCACATACCTCCGATTTCAATAAAACTTAGTATCCCTACGTAATTTGGTGCGCTGATTACCAAAATCATAGTGAAAATTGGCGGAAATTTAATTATCATGGTAAAAAGCATAAAAAACACCATAAAATCATGGTTTTTTTCGATTATCTCGTAAAAAACAAAAAACTTCGAAAAAAGTTTTAGACGAAAGTTGTAGATCTCTAAAAAACACACATTTCATGTTTTATGCATTTTTTACCAAAAGTCATTATTTTTCGAGAAAAACGCAAAATAGTAAACACGGCCTTCGGCCGCGTAAGGTACTGCTCGCTTCTCTTTTTAAGAAATCTTGGCGAGAGGGGGTGGATGTGTCCGAAAGTAATTTGCAGAAATTGTGGGGTGGAGTCTACAGCAGCGGTAAACGCAAAATAGTAAACACGGCCTTCGGCCGCGTAAGGTACTGCTCGCTTTTCTTTTTAAAAAAACCTTGGCGAGAGGGGGTGGATATGGCCGAAAGTATTTTGCGGAATTCGTTGGATCCTGAGTAATGGTGAATATGATAATTTCTGCAAATTACTTTCGGACACATCCACCCCCTCTCGCCAAGATTTCTTAAAAAGAGAAGCGAGCAGTACCTTACGCGGCCGAAGGCCGTGTTTACTATTTTGCGTTTTTCTCGAAAAATAATGACTTTTGGTAAAAAATGCATAAAACATGAAATGTGTGTTTTTTAGAGATCTACAACTTTCGTCTAAAACTTTTTTCGAAGTTTTTTGTTTTTTACGAGATAATCGAAAAAAACCATGATTTTATGGTGTTTTTTATGGTTTTTACCATGATAATTAAATTTCCGCCAATTTTCACTATGATTTTCGTAATCAGCGCACCAAATTACGTAGGGATACCAAGTTTTATCGAAATCAGAGGTATGTGCTATTCGGAACTGCACCCCATAATGATGATGATCTTGACGATGATCATACTTTTGATAATCATACTAATGATGATCTTGATATATCATACTGATGATCATAATGATGCTGATCAAACTAATGATGATCATTATAATGATCATGGTGATGATCTAACTGATGATGACCATGGTGATGATCTTATTGATGATGATCATGATAGTGATCAAGATGTTGTTGATGATCATAATAAAAATGATCATGATGATGATCATACTAATGATGATGATCATACTAATGATGATGATCATACTAATGATGATCATGATGATTATCATACTAATGATGGTCGTGATGATCAGGATGTTTATCATGATGATTTTCATGATGATAATCATACTGATGATGATCATGATCATTATTAGTATGATCATCATCATCATTATTAGGATCATCATCATCATGATCATCATTATTCTGATCATCATTATTAAGGTCATTATCAACTTCTTAATCACCATCATGATAACCATCATGATCATCATATTGAAATGGTATTTCAACAGTCAAAAATTTTATTATAAAATAATTATAAATTATTTGAAAATTATAAATTATAAACATTAAAAATAAAATTATACAAAGAAATGAAATTAAAACTAGATAAATTGAATTTCTAAAAATAATAGAAAGAGAGAAAAGATATCTATAGATAACACAATGAAAACATAAACAGAAAAATAATAGAAACAGAAGGTAGATATAAATACGAATTAAGAGAATTATTAATTTAATTTAAATTTAAAGTTTTTTTTATAAATAAGAATTTTTATAGATTATTATTTAAAGAATAAATTTATTTCATATTTTTTTCTTTAAATTATTTAGAAAGTGAAATAATAAAAATTATTTTAAAAAATTGCTGAAATTAATAATAATTGAATAAAATCATATGTTATATTAAAGTAAAAATTATTTAAAAATTAATGGTAAAAGTTTAATAATTTTAAAATTATTAATTTTTGATAATTTAAAGATTTTAGAAAATGAAAATCAGTTAGAGAAAAATGATTGACAGGTAGACAATGGCATTGTTCTTGGCGAACGTTAGAAACGGAATTAGAGAGAGAAAAATATCTCTGTTCTTAGAAAATAATTTAAATGTAATTGGCTATCCGAAAATAGACGCCGCGAAAAATCTAAATAGAGGGAGAAATTGGCGGTAAGAAATACATGGGAGAAGCACCCTGCGTAAAGTAGTGAGGGAAACTCGCGGATTTTCGCTCAATCAATTTGAAATTCCTTACTCACACACTCGCACATTTTGAATTTTACTTACCCCAGAAAATTAAGGGTAGGGACGCAACTATATAAGCCAAGTAAATGCGTGTTTCTGTCTCTTTTATCTGAACAGTTTTAAAATGATTTCATAAACTACATAACCAATAATTGCAAATCGATTTTAATAGTGAGATTATCACAAAATCAAGGTGTGATTGTATTTATTTTTATTTATTTATAATTACTAAGTTCAACTAAAAGTAAATTTTATTCTATTCAGAATTGAGAGAATTAATGAGGAAAGACTCACAATCGTTTTTATAAACAAAGAAAAACTATATTGTCAGATTAATTGTTTATTTACATTACTTAAATAAAAATAACTAATTCTTTTATTCATTATTATTATTATTTTCTTTAGCATCAAAATTCTTTGAAACGATAAACAATCAATTGTTTAAACAAGTAAAAGAATTTTGAAAAGTTAATAACAAAAGCTAAAAAACTAAATAATTATTGGAAAGATTCCTCTAATTTAGTTTGAAAAGCGACAAATAATTTAAAAATAAAAGAAAAGAATATAGATATATATAGAATTTGGAAAAGCAAAAAAATTTTACTACACGTTAGCAATCTTATTTGATGATATAGTTAGCACGTGTTTCATTATATTGAATAATATAAATTAAGAATAAAAAGTCCCTTTAAATTTTAACAATACTATTGTTTCTTTTGTATTAGAGATAATGGAATGTGGGTGATACTTCCCTAATCATTTATGTTTACAGTTTATCGGCCAAACGTTTGAACTCAGCTTATGAATGCTTCAATATGATCATGATGATGATCATACTAATGATAATAATCATGATGGTGATGATCATGGTAAAGGTTATAATTATCATGATAATGATCATAATGCTAATGATAAAGATAAGAATTATGATGATCATAATGATGCTGATCAGAAGGATGATCGTACTAATTGTGATTATAATGATGATGATCATAATGCTAATGATCATAATGAGTGCTAAATTTTTATCCAACTTATCAAGACTAGAGTGTACATAAATTTGCAAATCATCAGTATAATACATATATTTAGTATGCTAAAGAACATTGTAACGATTATTGAAATATTTAATTAAAAACAACAGTAACACAACAAAGTCCATATTCAGCACATAACACACCACAAAAGAGCAATATTTTAAATCCCAAACAAATTTTCAAGAGCCTTTAAAAACACGGCCGCTTTGTTCTGTTATGCTTTTATTAAGTTATCATAAATATGATGATAATCATAATGATGATGATCACTATCATAATGATAATGACCATAGTGATGAATATGTTGATGATGATCATAATTATGATAATCATATTAATGATCATACTGATGATGGTCATGATGATGATCATGATGATAATCATACTAATGATAACCACAATGATGACGATTATGATTATAAATATGATGATGAGCATAATGATTATCATGATGATGATCATACTGTCGATCATGATGATGATGATCATACTGAGGATGATCATAATGTTGATGATCATCAGTATGATCATCATCATCATGATCAACAGTATTATCATCGTCATGATCATCATCATCATGATCAACAGTATTATCATCGTCATGATCATCATAATTATGATCATCATTATGATCATACTGATGATCATAATTATGATGATCATGACGATCATAATACTGTTGATCATGATGATGATGATCATGATGATGATGATCATGATGATGATGATCATGATGATGATCATACTGAGGATGATCATACTGATGATCATCAACATTATGATCATCATCATAATCATCATAATTATGATCATCAGTATGATCATCCTCAGTATGATCATCATCATGATCATCATCATTATGATCAACTGTATTATCATCGTCATGATCATCATAATTATGATCATCATTACGATCATCCTCAGTATGATCAACATCAAGATCATCAGTATAATCATCATCTTGTTTATCATTAGTATATTCATCATCAAGTTCATCATCAGTATGATCATCCTCAGTATGATCATCATCTTGTTTATCATTAGTATGTTCATCATCAAGTTCATCATTAGTATGATCATCAACATTATGATCATCGTCATGATCATCAACATTATGATCATCAGTATGATCATCCTTAGTATGATCATCATCATGATCATCATCATCATGATCAACAGAATTATCATCGTCATGATCATCATAATTATGATCATCAGTATGATCATCCTCAGTATTATCATCCTCATGATCATCAGTATGATCATTATCTTGATCATCATTTGTATGTTCATCATCAAGTTCATCATTAGTATGATCATCAACAGTATGATCATAGTCATGATCATCAGTATGATCATCCTCAGTATGATCATCCTCAGTATGATGATCATCATAATCATCATCATCATGATCATTATCTTGATTATCATTAGTATGTTCATCATCAAGTTCATCATTAGTATGATCATCATAATTATGATCATCAGTATGATCATCCTCAGTATTATCATCCTCATGATCATCAGTATGATCATTATCTTGATCATCATTAGTATGTTCATCATCAAGTTCATCATTAGTATGATCATCAACAGTATAATCATAGTCATGATCAACAGTATTATCATCGTCATGATCATCAAAATTATGATCATCAGTATGATCATCCTCAGTATGATCATCCTCAGTATGATCATCATCATGATCAGCATCATCATGATCATCATCTTGATCATCATTAGTATGTTCATCATCAAGTTCATCATTAGTATGATCATCAACAGTATGATCATAGTCATGATCATCAGTATGATCATCCTCAGTATGATCATCCTCAGTATGATGATCATTATAATCATCATCATCATGATCATTATCTTGATTATCATTAGTATGTTCATCATCAAGTTCATCATTAGTATGATCATCAACAGTATGATCATCGGCATGATCATCATAATTATGATCATCAGTATAATCATCTTCAGTATGATCATCATCATGATCATCATCATCAATGTCATCAGTATAATCATCATCTTTTTCATCATTAGTATGATCATCAATATTATGATCATCGTCATGATCATCAATATTATGATCATCGTCATGATCATCATAATTATGATCATCAGTATGATCATCCTCAGTATTATTATCCTCATGATCATCAGTATGATCATTATCTTGATCATCATTAGTATGTTCATCATCAAGTTCATCATTAGTATGATCATCAACAGTATGATCATAGTCATGATCAACAGTATTATCATCGTCATGATCATCAAAATTATGATCATCAGTATGATCATCCTCAGTATGATCATCCTTAGTATGATCATCCTCAGTATGATCATCCTCAGTATGATCATCATCATGATCAGCATCATCATGATCATCATCTTAATCATCATTAGTATGTTCATCATCAAGTTCTGTTAGAAAATATCAGAAATAATATTTCTCAGGGGAAAGGAATTGGGAATCACTGTGATAAACACAAGTAAATAACACACATTAATATTCCTTTAAATACTGTATAATTTCAAAATAAAATTATGTTAAAATACACGTGAGGCAATGAATAAAATAATGTCTTTAATCTTTATTTTTAATTATTTTTATGTGTGAAAAGTAAAATATTTTTAAACTGGAGAATGCGACAAAAATCAACTACACTCGACTGTAGTTATTTTGGAACTGAACCTTTTTGGTCCTTCAGGTATATACCGTAGTTATAAACTTAAACTTGTTAGTGTAGGTACAATTTTGTGTAAGTATCTGTGTAAGTGTTTGTGAAAGTATCGTTGTAATTTCTAAATATCCAACACCCTTCCTCAACGATAATTACTTTAATTTTTGCAATCAATTAATCCACACATTTCTGAAAGATATTTTAACTTTACTCTACCTAATGCTTTTGTTAACATATCTGCTTGCATTTGTTCCGTAGGACAATATTTAAAATCTACAATATTTTTATCTTTTAAATCCTTTAAAAAATGAAATTTTGTTGCAATATGTTTTGTTCTATTACTGAATTTTCTATTTGAAATAAGTTTGAGACAACTTTGGTTATCTTCATAGATGACTGCTTTTTCTTGAGTTTCGTTGAAAAAATCTTCCAGTAGATTTTTTAACCATATCATTTCTTGAGAAGCTTCTGCTAGGGCGATATATTCCGCTTCTGTTGATGAAAGAGCTACGCATGTTTGTTTACGACAACACCAACTTATTGAAGATCCGTTGAATTTAAATAAATAACCACTATTTGATTTTCTATCAGCTCTGTCCTCAGCCCAATTTGCATCAGCAAAGCCAATAAGTCCGGTTTTATTGTCCTTTTCACCTAATATGAGTTCGTAGTCTTTTGTCCCCTTCAGGTAGCGGAACACTCTCTTTACCTCCGTCCAGTCTGCAGTTACAGGGTGTTTGTTGTGCTGACTTAAGATGGTTACACTTGCTGCTATATCCGGTCTTGAATTTACAGCCAAATATAATAATGCCCCAATGGCTTGTTGATATTTTTCGCATTCGAGCATTTTATTTTCATCAGTCCTGATTTCCAGATATCCTAAATCCAGTGGTATTTGCGAAATTTTGGCATCTTGAAAACCAAACCTTTCAATTAATTTTTCTATGTATTTTGTTTGCTTAATACAATAGAAACCATTTTTGTCTCTTCTGATTTCTAATCCTAAGTAATGTTTTAAAATTCCCAAATCTGCTAAATTAAATTCTTTATTTAAAAATTTAGCCACTTGATTAATTTTATTCATATCATTTGATGCAATTAAAAAATCATCGACATAAATAATTACGTAAATTTTGTCATCATTGTGACCTTTTGAATATAAACAAGGATCAATTTTACTTTGTACAAAACCGTTGTCTTTTAATAATTTGTTTAATTTATCATTCCATACCTTAGCCGCTTGTTTTAACCCGTAGATTCCTTTCTTGAGCTTGCAGACATTATCTTCTTTGCCGGGAATGACGTAACCTTCCGGTTGTTGCATAAAAATTGTCTCCTGCAATGATCCGTTCAAGAAAGCTGTTTTGGCGTCGAAATGTTTTATGATCATATCCTTCACACCTGCTATTGTCAAGAAGAGCCTAAGAGTTGCTTGTCGAACAACAGGTGCAAAAACCTCATCATAATCGGTACCAAATTTTTGAGAAAATCCTCGAGCGACGAGCCTAGCTTTATATCTCTCTATATTACCTTCTGCATTTCTTTTAATTTTAAAGATCCATTTACATGTAACAATATTTCCTTGGGTAGGTCTTGAGATGATGTCCCAGGTATCGTTCTCCCTTAATGATTTTATTTCCTCGTCCATTGCTTTCTTCCATTCTTCTTTGTTTGAACTTGACAATGCTTCCTGTATTGTTCTCGGCTCTCTTCCTTCAATGACCATTTTAGAGGTGGCCATATAACGTTCCGGGGGTACTCCTTTATTAGAACGATCAGAGCGCCTAATTTGGTTTTCTTGAGTTTCTTCTATTAATTCCGCACTATAATCACTGTCCGTATCATTTGTTGAATCACTATCTTCCGTGCTGATTTCTTCTTCCGTGGATGTATCTTCATTTTCTTGATTTTGTTGATCTTCATTGTTTTTGAGAGGTATCTCGATAACACTTGTTCCGTTTGTTATCTCATTCTTGTGAAATTTATCAAGAAAAATAACGTCTCTGCTAATCTTGATTTTGTTTGTTCTTGTATCGAGTAGTCGAAAGGCTTTAGACTCTTCTGAATAACCAACGAAAATCAATTTTTCTCCTTTATCATCTAATTTTCTTCTTTGCTCTTTGTGAATGAGAGCGTATGCTGCACATCCAAAAACATGTAAGTGTCCAATATTTGGTTTCTTTCCGTACCATAACTCATATGGTGTTTTTTCTTTAACTTTTGTGGGCAATCTATTTTGCAAGTAGTTGGCCGTGATTGTTGCTTCTCCCCAGTATTTTTTATCTAAATCAGCATCTATAAGCATGCATCGAGACATTTCAAAAAGAGATCTGTTTTTTTTTTCGGCAACACCATTCTGCTGGGGTGAATAAGGTGCTGTGTATTGCATGCGAATACCTTCATCTTTTAAGAAAGATTGCAAATCATTATTAATGTACTCCCTTCCTCGATCTGATCTTATAATTTTTGGCTTTTTATCATGTTGTGTTTTCATTAATTGAATGAATTCTTTAATAAAAATTCCAACTTCATTTTTATTTTTCATTAAATAAACTTTAGAAAATCGAGAAAAATCATCAATAATGGTTAAAATATACCTTTTTTTACCTGGGGTTTCTGTTTGCATAGGGCCACAAACATCTGTGTGAATGAGATCCAGTATTGCTTTTGTCTTCTGTAGAGATTCTTTTGGAAACGGTTTACGTGCCATTTTCCCTTTAATACAACATTCACACACTATTTTTGCACCACAATCCTTGAATTGTATACCTGAGGCTAGTTCCTTTTCTGCTAATAACTTTATTGCTGCTGGGTCTCGGTGTCCAAATCTTCGGTGCCAGGCATGTTGACAATCTTCATGATAATGTTCTTTTATTGCCACTTTACTCGACCCGAACACTTCTATCACTTTTGTTTGATCGCACTTTTGAACTTCATACAAATCTGGAGACAATCTGGCTACAAGATGGATCTTACCGTCCTTTATGATATGACAATAATCCTCTTGAAACTGTATTTTGTAGCCATCCTTTGCCAATTTTTTTACTGACAATAAATTAGAACTAAAGGTAGGTACATAGAGAACATCACGTATTTCCATTTCAAAACAATTTCCTTCTTTTGAACTCCACTTTATGATGCCTGATCCTATCCCTTTTATATTAGCAGCCTGTTCATCCGCAAGACGAACGAGTCCTTTTTTGCTAGTATCTAATTTTTTGAAAAAATCTTTATTGCGTACCATATGGCTTGTTGCTCCAGAGTCTACAACCCAACTTTCTCCTTCAATTGCTGCTTTTGTCATTTCCATATGTGATTCCTCCCTGGTTATATGACAGTAATCTTCAGTTTTCTCTTCTTTATCTTCGGAAACTTTATTGGCCTTTTGCTGTTTTTCTTTCCATGCTTTATACTTAAAACATTCTTGTTTCGAATGTCCAGGTTTTTTACAGAAAAAACAATTACCCTTAAATTGCTTTTGACCTTTATCTTTATTGTATGTGGACTTCATAGCTGACTCACTGTTCTGAAGATTTTCTCTTACATCTTTTGCCCCTTTACGCCGTTTATACTCATCGATTAGTTTGCTTTTAATGAATTGGCTTGTAATATCTTCTTCGGGCCTACTCTCTAATGCCGTTACAAGAGTATCGTAAGATTCTGGAAGACTTCCTAATAGCAGTGCTGCTATCAAATTATCAGGCAAATCTTGTCCAAGGGCTGATAATTGACTGATATTATTGGAAAAACTATTTATATGAGCTTCCATATCACCTCCTTCAATCAAAACTGAACGACATATTCTTTTTAATAAGAGAACTTTACTTGATAAAGTCGACTTTTGGTGATATTCTTTGAGTGAATTCCACGAGTCCTTCGCTGATTTGGCATTCCTGATGTGCAACAATTGATCATCTTCAACAAGAAGTCCTATTCTTGCACGTGCCTTGTCGTCTTTCTTTTTCCACGCAGCTAATTTTGTGGCATCTGTATCAGGTGGTTTTTCTTCTTCTATCACTTCCCATAGATTGTCGTCAATCATCATAAGCTCCATTTTATAACACCACACATTATAATTTTCACCATTGAGCTTTGCGATCGCGAACCGGTATCCTGAACCTTCTGCCATAATTATTCACTTTAATAACTTCACAATTCTGTCAAAATAAAAACTGCGTCACTTTAATTGTTAATTTTAATCACACAAAAAAAACTGTCAATAATTCCTTATGTTATTCAATTAATTATTGTTATTATCTTTCACTACACTCTGGGCCCATAACCTGTTAGAAAATATCAGAAATAATATTTCTCAGGGGAAAGGAATTGGGAATCACTGTGATAAACACAAGTAAATAACACACATTAATATTCCTTTAAATACTGTATAATTTCAAAATAAAATTATGTTAAAATACACGTGAGGCAATGAATAAAATAATGTCTTTAATCTTTATTTTTAATTATTTTTATGTGTGAAAAGTAAAATATTTTTAAACTGGAGAATGCGACAAAAATCAACTACACTCGACTGTAGTTATTTTGGAACTGAACCTTTTTGGTCCTTCAGGTATATACCGTAGTTATAAACTTAAACTTGTTAGTGTAGGTACAATTTTGTGTAAGTATCTGTGTAAGTGTTTGTGAAAGTATCGTTGTAATTTCTAAATATCCAACAAGTTCATCATTAGTATGATCATCAACAGTATGATCATAGTCATGATCATCAGTATGATCATCCTCAGTATGATCATCCTCAGTATGATGATCATCATAATCATCATCATCATGATCATTATCTTGATTATCATTAGTATGTTCATCATCAAGTTCATCATTAGTATGATCATCAACAGTATGATCATCGGCATGATCATCATAATTATGATCATCAGTATAATCATCTTCAGTATGATCATCATCATGATCATCATCATCAATGTCATCAGTATAATCATCATCTTTCTTCATTAGTATGTTCATCATCAAGTTCATCATTAGTATGATCATCAACAGTATGATCATAGTCATGATCAACAGTATTATCATCGTCATGATCATCAAAATTATGATCATCAGTATGATCATCCTCAGTATGATCATCCTTAGTATGATCATCCTCAGTATGATCATCCTCAGTATGATCATCATCATGATCAGCATCATCATGATCATCATCTTGATCATCATTAGTATGTTCATCATCATGGTCATCATTAGTATGATCATCAACAGTATGATCATTGTCATGATCATCATAATTATGATCATGATGATGATCATACTGAGGATGATCATACTGATGATCAAAATTATGATGATTATGACGATGATCATACTGTTGATGATCATACTATTGATGAACTTGTTGATGAACATACTAATGATGATCAAGATGATGATCATGACTATGATAATTCTGTTGATCATGATGATGATGATCATGATGATGATCATACTGAGGATGATCATACTAAGAATCGTAATTATGATGATCATGACGATGATCATAATGTTGATGATCATACTAATGATGATCATGATGATGATTATCATGGTGATGATCATACTGAGGATCATAATTATGATGATCATGACGATGATCATACTGTTGATGATCATACTAATGATGAACTTGATGATGACCATGACGATGATCATACTGTTGATGATCATATTAATGATGAACTTGATGATGAACATACTATTGATGAACAAGATGATGATCATACTGATGATCATGATGATGATGATCATGATGATGATCATACTGAGGATGATCATACTGATGATTATAATTAAGATGATCATGACGATGATCATACTAATGATGAACATGATGATGAACATACTAATGATGATCATGATGATGATCATACTAATTATAATGATCATGATGATGATCATGGTCAAGGTGATAATTATCATGTTAATTTTTATCATGATGATGATCATAATGCTAATGATAATGATCAGAATTATGATGATCATAAGGATGCTAGACAGAAGGATGATCGTAGTAATTGTGATTATAATGCTGATGATAATAAATATGATAATGATGATGATTATGTTTATGTTGATGATGATTATAATGAAAATTATCATAATGATGATGATCATGTTCAGGGTGATAATTATCATGATAATAATGGTCATGATGATGTTCATAATGCTAATGGTTATAATGATTATGATCATAATGACGATGATCATACTAATGATGAACATGATGATGAACATACTAAGGATGATCATGATGATGATCATACTAATTAAAATGATCATGATGATGATCATGGTCAAGGTGATAATTATCATGTTAATTTTTATCATGATGATGATCATAATGCTAATGATAATGATCAGAATTATGATGATCATAAGGATGCTAGACAGAAGGATGATCGTAGTAATTGTGATTATAATGCTGATGATAATAAATATGATAATGATGATGATTATGTTTATGTTGATGATGATTATAATGAAAATGATCATAATGATGATGATCATGTTCAGGGTGATAATTATCATGATAATAATGATCATGATGATGTTCATAATGCTAATGGTTATAATGATTATGATCATAATGATGATGATCATACTGATGATCATAATGATCCTAATCATAATGATGATCATGGTCAAGGTTATATCATTATGGTCAAGGTGACGATTATCATGATGATGATCGTAAGAATGATCATACTAATTGTTATTATAATGATGATTATAATGATGATCAGGATGATGATCATGATGATGATCATGATAAAGATCATGATGATGATGATCAAAATGCTAATGATTATAATGATGATGATCATAAATATGATCATCATGAGGATGATTGGGTTGGTGATCATTCTAATTGTTATCACAAGGATGATGATCATGATTATAATGATTATAAATATGATGATCAGCATGATGATTATCATGATGATGATCATGGTTAAGGTGATAACAATCTTTGATGATTATAACAGTAGAAATCATAAATCATTCAATTAAAAATATACTACACGAAAAAAAACAAAAGTCTAACAATTGCAGAGTGGTATTAACTAGAATAAGATTTGTTTTTTCACAAACGTATAAAGGTAAATTTAGGTAAATGAGAAATTAAAAAAGAATTTTATTAATTTAAACTTTGTATAATTTATTAATATAAATGAATTGAACTCAACATATTACAATGGTGTTTTAGTGTAAAAATGCTGTTATAAAGAACATTGTTTTTTTAAAAATATAGTACTTACAATTACCTCTGTTCAGGGGGCAGAAATGAATATAAAACAAGTTGGCACTTGTCAGCGACGCTATGAGTTTTTACAGCTCCTTAAAAGGAACAGTTGGGACTTCTTCACAGTTTTTTAGTTCGTAAACTCCGAAATGCACACACGTCACGTTTGCATAATCGATAAATTGAGAATACACTAATACGACGATTTATTTTAAAATTCAATAAATGACAAGCTTACAAATCTGGCGATGATGATTACTTGCTCAAAAACCGAACAACGAGTAAACATATACTGTTTGAGATGCAAGAGTTACAGTCTTAAAATTTTCAAAATAACCGAAGGGTCAAGCTTCACGATGGTGATTTTACTTCAAGAAATGAATTATAGAATGATTCCAGAGCAACTGACGATTGACAATGGATTTGCATGGGTTTTTATACTAGAAAATCACCCTCAGTGGGAGTAAATAAGTTCAAAGATCACCCCATCTCCATCTTGACTTTTAGATTTTCATAGACCTGTAACAATTCTTAGAGCTTAGATGAACACCTGCATCCTGTATCGCATAGCACAAGTATCGCTATTACAATGTCTACAAGCATCTCACAATATTGCCACGCTAGAATACTGTGCTTGCTCCTCGCTGACGCTTACATGAGTCATAAATCCACTCGCTAATACTGAGTAATGTGCGTAGTAGTGTCAAATGCCTTAGGTTTAATTTCTAGAAATTGCCTACCAGGCTTTCGATATTCAAGTCAAAGGTCAGCCTATGCGATTCGATACAAGTGAGAAGTAGAACATCGCATAAGACTTTATACTTTGTGCAGCTGCAAAAACAATTCCTAAGAATTAGCTGAAGCATTGCGTGGGATTCAAATTAGAAAAATTTTGTATTTTGAACATTATTCATATTTTTGAATAATGGCATTTTAAATGCTTTAAGTGTAAAAATGTGTAAGATTTATTATTTTAAAGTAATAGATAACTGAATTTTAAATACAATAGCAAAAAGAATTAATTAATTTTGAAGAATTGGGGCGAAAACTAGTGTAGATAGTTTTCGCTCTTGTTTAACAACCACACGCGATTCCTCAGCATAGCCCTTCTGTAGCGAGAGGTCACCTTCGGTGATGCATCTACTCGCTATATCTATATTCACATATCCATGTCTGTACGCACTATATCTATATATATCGCTGGCTTGCGACGAGTCATAACATGCAGGCAGAGATATGCATATATATATATAGATATAGTCGCGCGTATATGAATATGAATCAATGCTTATCGGAGACGCGGAAAATGACCCATGGGGGTTGGCTTTTAGAGTAGTATCTAAGAAACTAGTTTCGCGGCAAAAAAACCCCGGTCTGGACAATCCGATTCGGGTCCGAAAAATCATACGTGCTTTGTTCTCCCATGTGGAATCTGGCCCCCGAGAGGACTATACTCACTGTGTAGTACAGTGGGAAGAACTCTTCACACTTGAAGAACTTAAAAAGGTGGCAAAGATGTTGAAAAATGGCAAAGCGCCAGGTAATGATGGAATACCCAACGAGATTCTTAAAGAAGTTATCGCTCTGTATCCGGAGCTACTTCTCGACGTCTTTAATACATGTCTGGAGTGTGGAAGATTTTTCAGTGACTGGAAAGCACAGAAGTTGGTCCTTTTTAGGAAGGGGGATAAACCTCTAGATAAAGTCTCATCGTTTAGACCAAGTTGTTTATTGGATACGATGGGTAAACTTCTAGAGCGAATGATTCTGGAGAGACTACAGAGAATCCTGGTAGGCAAAAGTAGCTTATCCGAAAACCAGTTTGGCTTTAGAAAGGGCCGGTCCACAGTAGAGGCGATTTTAGCGGTTGTTGAAAAGGCAAATAATGTCAAATCAGGGAAGAAGAAGGGATTTTGCGCACTCGTAGCCATAGACATACGAAACACGTTTAATTCCGCGAGATGGGATATTAGTATCGAGGCGATGAAACGTAAAGGGGTGCCAACCTATCTGTTGCGAATGATAGATGACTATCTTAGCGATAGATGGGTTGTGTACGAGAGCGATGCATGTCATATCAAAGAAGAGATGACATGCGGAGCTCCCCAAGGATCGAAAGTAGGTCCAACCATAAAGAACGTCATGTATAACAGTTTCCTGAGGTTGGACTTACTGGAAGATACGTTTCTGACCGGGTTCGCGGATGACGTGCTTTTAGTGTGCTGTGCGGACAAGATAAATCTTTTATAGATAAAACTCGATGATAGTCTGCGACGAATAGTGTTTTGGTTGGACCGACATGCACTGAAAATGGCTGTCGAAAAAACCGAGGCTCTGCTCGTCACAGACCGGAGAGACTTCCGATTCCCGCGGTTGGAAATTGGAGGATCTGTAGTTTCATGGGGGACAAAACTGAAGTACCTGGGAGTGACGTTGGACAAACGTTTGAGTTTCGGCCAACATATTAACATCTCGTCACTCCAAGCCACCGAATGCATGGGAAACCTTTCGAGGATGATGCCCAATATCGGTGGCCCCAGGGAAAAGAAACGTAGACTAGTGGCGACTGTGGTTCAATCAAAGCAGCTTTATGCTGCCCCTGTTTAGGCTTCGGTCCTAAAGTTCCACAGCATCTCTGACAGGCTCTTCGCGGTCCAGAGAGACCCGGCACGGAGAATTGTGTCAGCCTTCAGAACGGTGTCTACTTGCGCTGTTCTGGTACTCGCTGGATTACCGCCAATGGATTTATTGGCGATGGAAAGGAAGGAGATCTTCCATCTTAACAAAGATCTGGCGGGTACTTCAGAGCATAGCGATAGACGGGATGGGATGGGGAGTCTAAAGGTAGGTTGACCTACCGCTTGATTCCCCTCCTCGCCACATGGTTAGATAGGAAACACGGTGAAGTTGGCTACTACCTTACACAAGCGTTGTCAGGTCATGGTTGTTTCGGACAGTATTTTTATCGATTTAAAATAGAAGCAGAAGCGAGGTGTGTGTATTGCAACGGTTCGGGTGTCGACGAAGCAATAAACACTGACGACGCGGAGCAAACGCTCTTTTTCTGCGGGCACTGGCGTGAACTCAGGCAAGCCATGTTCTCGACTGTGGGCACTGAAGTCACACCCGACAACATGGTTTCTATTATGTTGCAGAGCGCGGACTGTTGGAGGAGCGTCGAGTCCTTCATTACAACTGTAATGAGGACGAAGGAGGACGACAGAAGAAGGTTAAAGTCTCAAAAAGGGTGTGGTTTTTAGTGGGTCGACCAGAACAAGAGCGGTCATCCCTACATAACCTGAGAGTACGGGCTCCATGATCATCATCAACATCTTGATCCCAATCATGATCACCATCCAGATCATCATTATGAACATGATGATTATGATCGTAATGATAAAAATACTACTAATGATGATCATGATAATTATCATGATGATGATTATACTAATGATGATCGTAATTCATGATCATGTTAATGATGATGATGGTCATGATCAACTTGATAATTATCATGATAATTATTGTCATGATAATGATCATAATGATGATAATGATGATCGTGACAAGATGTTGATGATGATCATAATAATGTTGATCATTGTCAAGGTGATGATTATCATGATGATTGTCATGATGATGATCATAATGCTAATGATTATAATGATGATGATCATCAATATGATCATCATGAGGATGCTCATACTAATGATGATCATGATGATGATCATGCTGATGCTCATACTAATGATGATCATGATGATGATCGTAATTATGATAATCCTACTAATGATGATGATTATACTAATGATGATCATGATGATGATCATACTGATGATGATCATACTAAAGATGAAAATGATGATGATCATACTAAAGATGATTATACTGATGATGATGATCATCATCATCATTATTATGATCATCAGTATGATCATCGTCATGGTCACCATTAGTATGATTATCAACAGTATGATCATCGTCATGTTCATCATCATCATCATCATTATGATCATCATCATGATCATCATTAATATATTCATCATTATGATCATTATTATGATCATCATTATTATAATCATCATCATGATCATTATTATGATTATCATTATTATGATCATCATTAGTAAGATCATTATTATCATCATCACGATCAATATTATTATAATCATCATCATGATAATTATTATGATCATCATTAGTATAATCATTATCATCATCAGTATAATCGTCATTATGATCATCATCAAGATCATCATCATGATCCTCATCATGATTATCATATTTATGATAATCATCATGATCATTATTGTCATGATAATCATCACCTTGACCATAATCATCATCATTATCATAATTCTGATCATTATAATTATGATCATCATCATGACAATAATTATCATGATAATTACCACGTTGACCATGATCATCACCATCATGATCATTATCATTAGTATGATCATCTTAAAGATCATCATCATTATCATCATCAAGATCATCATAATGATCATCATCATGATCATTATCATCATTAGTATGATCAGCATTAGTATGATCATCATCAGTATCATCATCATCATTAGTATAATCATCATCATGATCATTATCATGGTCATCATTAGTAGGATCATCATTACGATCATCATCATCATCATGATCATAATGGTAATCATGATAGTGATCATGATGTTTATCATAATGGTGGTGAATATGTTGATGATAATCTTAATAATGATGATCAGAATAATGACGAATGATGATGATAATGATCATGTTTATGGTGATCATAATGATTATAATGATGATAATGATCATAATGATGATGATGATCATAATCAAGATGATGGTGATCATAATGATTATGATAATGATGATGATCATCAAAATGATAATGAACATGATGTTCGTGATCCCGATAATGATCATGATCAAGATGATGATTATCAAGATGATGATTACCCTCACTTTTCACACAAAATACTTTCTACTACGCTAGTATAATGAGCTCTATAACGAATGCGACAACTTTCGAACGTCGCGCGCAGCGATAGCAGATGTTTCACAAGTAAATAAAATACAAAAAAGAAAAGAGACATTATTTCAAAAATTGTGTTAAAGCTTGAAAAATAAGAAAAAATTTTATCTTTAATTATCTTATCTTA